TGTTGAAGACAGAGTTGATGTCCCATTCTCACTGGACGCTTATCTCTGGACAAGATAGAAATATTCACAAGAACTGCGAGAAGGAACGTAGCAGCCAAGGGGCAGCATGGAGCAAGGGTGTGTGTGTGTGTGTGAGTGTATGGATTGCTGTATAAATAGATGTGTTATGCTGTAAATAGCCCCTGTGTGGCCATAGTCTGATGACAGAAGGACATTCCATATTACCCCAGAAGTAGGCCCAAGCAGCTGTTGCTTGGGGACTACTCCTGGGAATACAAAGGGCAAGCCATTCATACTTTCCAGCTGTACTTGTTTTATTGGATTGGCATCTTCTTTCTTACTCTTTGTACCAACTGCTGCTTTGAACTCATGTCATGTAAGAATTGGAACATAGCCTTTAAGTGCTTTTATCATGGCTGGTACAATTCGCCCTAAAAATGGCCTGCGGGATGGAATATGTAGGGGACTGCATGTGTCTTTTCTGAAATCATGCCGTTGCTGACGTGTTACTGGCTCCTGATACGTGTTTTGCTCTTGCAGGGCAAGAAACACTTGATAACTGCTTAGTAACTTCCCAATACACTCCTCAACAGGACCTAATTTCTAAAATGAGAAGTGTTAGGGTTTGATGCCAAGTAGATCATGAGCATCAGCAGCACCATTGCGTATATATCTAACAATTGTATATTGTTCTTAAAGTATTTCAGCAAAAACTGAATATACTTCTGTCAGAGATGTTCTAATTTTTTTCTGCATGGCATATGCCGACTGAGCAGTGAAATGCACTAGATGATCAACTACTCTTCCAATTGCCTGTATAGGACAAAAATGAGTTGTTCCCTGCTCTCAAAGAACTGATCATCTAAATCAGCTCTTAAATAGGTGGGAGTTTTCCAAGTATGTTAAATTATAAAGCTTAGTATCCTCAGCTAAATCTAAACCATGAATGCAAAATGTTGGACAAGTGGTCCTTGACTTACAACCATTCATTTAGTGACCATTTGAAGTTACAATGGCACTGAAAAAAGCAACTTATGACTAGTTTTCACACTTACACTGTTGCAGCAAGCTCATGGTCGTGTGATCAAAATTTAAGGGCTTGGCAACTGGCATCTATTTATGACAGTTGCACTGTTCCGGAGTCATGTAATCACGATCTGTAACCTTCCCACCTGACTTCCAACAAACGAAGTCAGTTGGGGAAGATAGATTCACTTAACAACCACATGATTCACTTAATAGTTGCCATGACTGTGACAAAAAAGATCATAAAAATGGAGAAAACTCACTTAACAACTGCCTTAATTAGCAATGAAAAGTTTTGGTTCAATTATAATTGTAAATTGTAAATCAAATCAATGCTACCTGTATTCTGTCTTGGATGCCATTTTACCTAATTTGTGTATGAGAAAAGAACATTATTATTTCTTAATTTTTTCATATGCTCATAAATATGGTCCTGCAATTCCCCTGCTTCTGACAACTTCAGCTCCAAAAACAAGATTTTTGCTTTGAAAACAATATTCTTATTCTCTTTTGCAGATCATTAGACAAGGAAGGATAGGTGAATATACAGCAGTGCTTCCCAAACCTTTTCCTCATCATCTAAAACCGATTTTTAGAAAGTCAGATAGAACTTCAAGGCTTGGTTGTTTTTCCCCTATCTTAAACACCATTGTAATTTCAAATGGTCACTAAATGAATGGTAACTGTATTATAAAAACAATAACATCGAATTATCTTTATGTCATTTCAACAAATTACCATTGGTAATTTCATCAATTTTAGCTCTTAATAGAAATACTTTGGGAAATTTTCAAATACATTTTAGTACACATGGCAATCTTTAAGTCAATTTAAATGTTGCTAATTGTGATGGGTAATGAGTTCAATTGTTATTTACCAAAGGACATCCATTTTTACCTAACTTTGGATAATTTACTCAGGTTTGGGAACCACTTATATACAGTAAAAATCAAGTAAGACAAAACAGAAATCTAGGGCTAGAGAAGTTAGTTACAAAAAAGGAGAAAGAAATATCCAGTGTAATAAACTTGTGTAACAACAAAAGAAATGATGTGATGTGGGCCTTAAAAATTGACTTGGTAGAAAGGTTGAGTAAAAATAGAGGAGGGGAAACAAGGCAAACTAAGAAACAGTAAAAGACAGCCAAGTCACTAAAGAAAAAAATATATAAATGGGGTTGCCATGGAGGGTATTTTAAAAATAGGGGCCAAGTAAAGCTTGATGTCAATGTCCAGAGCAACGAGGAGCGAGCATCAACTCTGAGTATCTGTTGCTGTTTTCAAAACTCCAGGTATGATTACCGTATAAACATTTATTCTCTCCAGTCTCTTAATCTAGTTACAGTATTCTGACATATTGTTTTAGGAAATATAAATACAATCTTTATACTTTCTAAAAAAGTAGCAGTGACATTTCACTGGAATTGGGGGCCCAGCAGGAATCACACTGGAAGTGAGATGTGATAGGACCTTGTGATATTAAATCCCTAAGCCACGAATTCCCTTGCGGTGTACCATGCCATACAACCTTGTGCCACAAAATGTGCCTTGGTCTTCTGGAGCCTGGGACAGGTGGTGGGATTAGTTATTAATGAGCTCTTATATAATAAGGTCAGGTGGAAGGCCCCAGTAGGATCCTGAGCCTGTTGAATGGCAGCTCTGTTCTTAGCCGAGCCTGTCACAGCCCCGGGCAGCCACTCCCAACTCACGTTGGGGTGTATTAGCGCCTCATCTCCCCACATCTCTTAGCAGCAGCTGCACCTGACAAGCTTCCCATTCTCTAATCACTGTGCTAAATATAATGCAGCTGGCTGAGTCCTTAGTGTGGGGTCAGTGAGGTGGGTTTGGAGGGTATATACTGGCCCATGGCTGTTTTTCCATCCCCAAACAAGATGAAAAATAGAAGTCATACCGAGTTAGCATTTAAAAAGAAATAGAACCATCATAGCAGAGAAGGTTATTTTTCAGTTTTCACGGAATGGTGTGCATAGTTATATTGATCAGTACGAAATATGGCAACATAAATAGGTGAAAATCAAGGTGGCATCTTTATTAGTGCTTTTTAAAGTGTCACAAAAAGAAGGAACAAAGAGTCTTTGGAGAATAATGGCTATTAGACTAGATGACAATTTGACTACTCTTAATGGCCATATCTACCTGTCATTTGCAGTTAAATTGTAAGCAAATTGGTAAAAACTAATTTTTTACTGATATGATGTAAGAGTCCATCACGTTAAATAAATAAAGCTCCACCTTAAGGAAGAAAAAAGATTAATAATTAATTTTAACAAAAGTAACTTTTCTTGTGTGGGAACATATTTACTAGTTAAAGCAAATTAGAAAACCATTGTTGTCAGATACTCTGTGGAAACATTGACACGTATGTATAATACATAGCTTGCAATGACTAAAATGTTTGGATTCTCATTCTGTTTTTGTAGTTGGAGGATAAATTAATGCAAAGTTTATGAAAGACTAGAAATAAAATGTTCAAAAAATATCCTTGATTTCTTTTATTTTTTTCTTTGTCCCTTCTCACAGAATTCTTGCAAGCTTTAACAAGTCTCCTTTGTAAATTCAATATAGAAAAATTATCCAGGTCATTCTCTTAATAATTAAAAGGAATTTACAAGTAACAAATAAAGACATCACATGATGTCATGTCAGGTAACACTTGTTCCTCTTCCTTCATTTTCTTTTTCATTTTTTTTAATTGAAGTGAAGTAACATCTTTTAAACACAATCTATTTATAGAGATAGTCACTCTTAAAATTAATCTCTGGGTCCATTGTTCAAAAATATCCTTCAGTATTTCCAATGTTAAAATATTTTGCTTCATTCTGCTTTAGTAAGTTAAGTTTGTTCTTCTCCTTTAATTGCAATCTTTAGTTCTTTCTAGTTTTTTCTTATGTCCAATTTTTAAAGTCTTATTTTATATATTTTTAAAATATTTTCAAAACAAAAGGATGAATTTTTATAATTAATTCCAAAGTCTTATTTCAAATTTATCTGGATGCTTAGTTCATTTGTAACTTTCTAAAATCCAATCAGCCTTTTGCTGTTTATTTCAAGGAAAAAAATTAAGTTCTTAAACTTGTATTTAAAACTTCTTTACTAATGACTAAAGGAAACTCACCCACTGTTATAAAACATTAATCCAAAGGTTAGTCCAAAGGTTTCTAATAGCTGAAAAGTAATTAACAATCAATTTCTGAAAATGATTAGAATGACAATCACAGTTTGAGCATGATGATTATTCTCTTGTCTCCCAGAGCTTTAAATCCAGAAGAGTCTTCAGGTCTCCTCACTGGGAGAAGCTATTTGTTGTCCATATGTAAGTGATCTCAAGTCCTGTCCTTGTCCAGAGAGCAATTATGAAACCCAATATTTCATATAGTTATTTTCACTTTGCCATTTCTTCCCCAAAAGTCTAAGTTAAGATTGTTAGTAGTAAAAGGAAGGAGTATAAAATTGGTTTATTTGATTAAGGTTAAAATAGATATGTTGTTATCTCTGGTAACCTTTAATGAACTTTTACTGACGTAATGAGTGAAATGATAAAGTTTCATGAATTTGTTTATAGACAAGAAATAGGAATATTTCTTGGCTCTTGACTTTTCTCATTCTACCCCATTATGGATGTTTACAAAAAGCACAGAAATAAATTACACAAAGTACAGCTATTTTATGCAGATAATAATTGCCAATCTACATAGAAGATGAATGGGGAGCATCCAGGTTCAAATCATCTATGCCATTTAAAATTAGGGTTGCCAGGTCTGCTTCCAAAAAATAGCGGACAAGTGGGGGGGTTAAGTAGTAAAAAAAGTAGACTGTACAGCTTTAGATTATGTACCATTTCATCATAAAGCTTTTGAATAAAAAAATGTCCACTATTTTGTGAAAAAAAATAGTGAACATAATGTGAAAAAGCGGACTGTCCACTCAAATAGTGGACACCTGGCAACCCTATTTAAAATCCAGTTTTAATCAATGAATCATATAATAAATGGATCATTCAGTACAATTACTTAAAAATTCATCTGGCAATTTCTCTTAGTGCACTCTAATATTCAGTTACATTTGATTTTGTATTTCTGACATAGGAATTATGACAATTTCTGATTATGACATACTTAGTACTGTAAAATTTGCACATGTTGATCTTAGCCATCTTATGGCACAGTTTCACTAGATAGATTTTTTGTCTCTCTGTATCTTGGTGGCATGAAGAACAATATCTTGCATTACAAAAATTCATACATTTTTCACTTCAGGGGTAGTTGATTTTGCAGTTGATTTTTATCTTGCCCAGATGGCGATAAGAAGGATTGGGATGAGACAGGCTGTACCAGAGATGGCAATATTCCAACTAGAAGACGTATAGAAGCTGACAACTCAGCCAGATTATGAGCTACAGCCTCCATTTGGGAACCTTGATTCTTAATGGCAACAGAGACAGAAGCTAGTTCTCCATGGAGACCTTTCATTGTATGGACCAAGTTCCTCAGGACTTGTGATGAACAGCATCTTTGATCTGGTTTACTTTGTTCTTGTTTTACAAGACAGTTTGGGAATGATTCACAGTGTTCATAATAGGTGACAGGTTTGGCAGATGAGACATATGGACTTGATGTTTCGGTCAGGCCTAGTATGGTAGAGAAAAGAAACAACAACTTTCCAATATCCCAACATATCCCATTAGTAGCTAAGAGAACAATCCTTCCTAGCATGGTACTTTCTATATACATTGCATACGTTGACTGAAATTATGGGAACTAAATATCCCAACACGTATGTTCTACAAGAGCATGTATGGGTTTGTGGGTTTGCAACTCCCACAATGTTGATAGGGATTTCTATGATCTCCCAATACTGTACATATTGAAGGCATCAGGATAAGGGAGTCTGCTATGCAGAAATAGAGATGATCTTTAAAAAAGAGCCTTTCCCTAGCCTAAGAGTGAAGATTTATCTTCAGTACTTACATATTTTTCATAATTTACCTTCTGAGTTGAATAAATTGTCCTCCAATTGCCCACTCATAGTTCCTGGACTTGGGTGCAGTTGACTTAAATTGAAAACATCATTGGAAGTAAAGGTAGATTCTGGTGCAGCTGGAACATTTTATAGGAATATAAAATGAGGAAAAAAATGAGATTTCAGAATCTTGCAAAAAGCACATAGACAAAAATTCCAATATGTTTTGCTGGAGTTTTCTACAGATTTCTTTGCAATCATTAGCTCAATTCTTTCTCTAAAGAGAACAAGAAATAGCTGCAACAGCAGTCTTGTACTTTTTACTTTGAAAGGGGAAAAACAGGATACGTTCATAAGTGGTTCTAAGTCATGTATTTACCTATGGTTTAACTATGATTTCTTAATAAGCTACAAGTTTCTGGGTTTATGAGAGCCAGTGTGATTTAGTGGTTAAAGGAATTGGGTTAAGACTGAGAAGCCATTAATTCTAACCCTGCCTTAGGCATAAAGTCAGCTGAATGACTTTGGGATATCTACCAGATAGATAGTCAATGGTAAACCACTTTTAAAAATATTGCCAATAAAACTGCAGGGTATTGTCCAGGTAATTGCCAGGAGACAAAACTGACTCAAAAGCATATCTTTCTTACTGTCTCACTGTCTATGTCTGTTTGTCTTTCTGTCTCTCTGTCTATTTATCATCTATCTCTTCTATTTCTTCTAAATTCTTCCTTATTCATTTGATAACCTTTTTATGACCTTTGTACATTCCTAAATAAATAACATTTTCTCTCATGTTTACAGATTCTCTTGTGATGGTTTCCTTTCAATTATCTATAATTCTATGGGCCCTGAGTTAGGTACAACCTGTATATATGAATTCATGTGAACATATCTATATGTAGGGAGGGGAGATTATAAATGTGCTACACCATTTACATAACAATAAATCAAAACCAAACAAATCATATTACAATTCATAGTGAATTGTGACCTCAATCATTGAGTTGTTGAGGTAATAGTAACTGAGACAAGATTAGCTACTGCTATTACATTTTGAGTTCTTTTTTTCTTAGTCTTTCCTTAGCCACACTGAATCACTGGTCAGTGAGATGGTGGCATATTAGATAGATAGATAGATAGATAGATAGATAGATAGATAGATAGATAGATAGATAGATAGATAGATAGATAGATAGATAGATAGATAGACAGACAGACAGACAGACAGACAGACAGACAGACAGACAGACAGACAGACAGACAGACAGACAGATGACTGACTGACTGACTTTTCCTTCAGGAAGATAAAATTAAGCAAATGGAAAGAAGAGCTGCCACAATTCAAATGCCTGCTACTATTTTTTCCTGGAATTTTGTCCAGGAAAAAAAGGAAAGAGCCAGTGAGCCATTACTGCTCCCTTTCTCCAACCTAATTACGTGCCTCCCAATCTAACTATATGCCTTTCCTTTCTGGTAGCAAGAAAGACAAAAAATAAGAATTACCAATGCTAAAAGGGAACCAGACAAAGATTCATTATGCATGGCACATCCAATCTTAGGCCTTGCTTTGGGATTGTTACTCACCTGTAGGCTCTACTGGATGGGGAACTGTATTTGATTCTTCCTGTTTTTCTTTATTTGATTTCTCTTCAGAATCTATGACTTTGGGGGTGGTTGTTTCCATGTGCTTCTCAGGTTGCAAATTCTTTGTGGTTATTGGCAGTTCCATCTCTTTTGTGACTTCCAAGTTCTTTGAGAATTCAAACAATTCATTTCTCCCATAATCAGATGCACTTATGACTTTCTTAGGTGCCTGAATCCATGTGGCAGTGGTGATATCCTGATTTTCAAGGAAGACATCATTGAATTCTGTGTTCTTTGTGGCTGGAGACACTTCAGCATTGCTATCCCAATAGATGGGATGCACTCTCTCAAGACCAGAGTTAAAGGATTGTGCAAATGGAGGTGGTTCTGCTCCTGATGGCCTTTCTAATTCAATTTCTCTGTCTGATTTAATATCCCACACGGATAAGGATTTAAATTCTATGGCTGGTGAAATGGGCATTTCCCTCAATTTTTGAAATGACAACATGATCTTTGAAGAACTGGCTGATTCCATCTCCTGCTGTGGGTTCTCTGAATTATACATTATTTTATCTATGAATCCAGGAGTTGTTGACTTTATTTCTCTTTTAGATTCTGTATACCATGTGATGGAGGATGGCTGAAATTTTTCTGAGGAAGAAATAGATACTTTTTTCCATTTGTGTGTGGGGAAGCTTGTTTTGGGGAAGCTGTATGGATTTTTTTCCTCCAAGTGCTGCAATATTTTTGGACTAAGTGTTGCTTCAACAATACCTGAAGGATTTATTGGCTTTGTCTCCTTTTCCAGTTCAATTTTCACACTTGGTGTTTTTAAAAAAGGATCCTCAGTGTACCATTGATTGAGAGACTTTATATTTGACTTATCTGGAAATTCCTGAATATTTGTGGTAATCTCTGCTACATCCATCACATTTTGCAGCTCTAAATTGTTTGGAGATACTGGCTTGGATGTGATAGAGATTGGTAGTTCAGTTGCCTTTGAACTACCAGTTGGTTTTTGAAACAACAGAGGTTTCCACTTCCCTAAAATCAGAAAATGTTTACTAGTATCATAGATTTACCACTGTTCTTTCTCCATAACACTAATTATTTCTGGCCATTCTCAGAAGCCAGGCAGATGTTCTCATTAAACATGCCTGAATAGAAATAGGAAAGTTCCTCACCTGTGCAGATGACAGAAGCATCTTCATGATGGTTGCAGTTATGCTTCCCCCAAGGCTTAGAATGACAGTGCTTTATAATAAACTCTCTCCCAGTACAGTTGACATCATCCAACCAGATAGGTCCAGATCCTGGTCCATACCGAGCATTGCCTGGACTGAGAAGTGGAGCTCCACAGCCCAACTCATGGCACACAACAGCTGCATCCACCAAATCCCAGCCATCATCACACACTGTGCCCCACTGGCCTTTGTACAATACCTCTACCCGTCCAGCACAGGATTCAGGGCCATCTACAAGTCGCAGCTGCTGCTGGCCTTAGATACAAATAGTAGAAAATGGTTAAACAGAATTAAACATCTTCCATCACAACTGTTGTCTTGAGGAATAGGATTTCCCACTAGTGTATTTATTTACATCAGAAAAAATATGTAGCATTTGAAGCAATGGGGAAAAGATGCTGCCTTGATTGGGGAAGGGAAGATAGGTAGAAATTTGGATAAAATGAAATATATGCAGTGCTTTATTTATCATGCTTTGGATATAAGTTATTTCCACTTCCCCTGTTCTGACTCCTAGTGGATAAAACATAATGAAGAAACATATCCACATCTTTACTTCATATCTCTAATTAGTGGTCTCTGTTCTTTAGATATACAAGCATATTTGGTTGGAGCCATTCTATGAAAATCAAGTACCAATCTATTTTAATCCATGTTTTCTGGAGTAGTTGAGTGAACACTTTGTGAGTATTTAAGGACCAAACTAAATGTGACATGATAGGGCCATCACTGGTTTTCCCATACAGATATGCAGGCTCTTCCATACATGATCTGTTTCCTGTTTCCCATGGGATAATTAAAAAAATTAAAATTTTCTAAGAAAATTGATAGCCTCTTTTCACCAATGAGAGACAGATGTAGACAGGGATGCAAACAAAATTGGAAAGACAGTGCAAAATGTATGGTATTCATGAGGACTTGGGCTTGAATTATTGGAGGAACAGAGAGGGCACATTCTGTTTTCTTTTTATCTAATTTTCCTTAATTATAAATACTTACCTAGAATATCAACAGCATGGCAGGACTGGCCAATATGTTTCAACAGTATAATTCTGGTGGAATTTCATTTTAAATGTGAATAATAATTCATTGCTTTTCCAGATAAGCCAATAGTTCACTAAATGGACTAAAATAATATTTCCCCATGTTACAAAGCTATTGTCACTGAGCACTACTTATTACTTCAATGTACTATTTTGGGCAGATAGGGCACCTCTTACCCTAAATTGACTGGCTAAAGCAAGTAGTTACCTGGCATGATTGCACAAACTTTATGTTAATGTTGTGGAAATTTGTGGTGAGGAGGAAGGGGGGAATGGGTTTATCTCTGTTTAATGTCTCTACCTCCCCATCTGACAGAATTTAAACATGCTTTTTCTTTCTCTTGGGATGTAAAGAAGGATGCCAAATACATTATATTATAATATTTAAGCCACTTTCTCTCCTCTTTTGCTTTCAGTTACTAACACGTATATAACAAAAATTGCTCCTGGATATTTACTGCAACCTTTCCTAACCTAGTGTTTTCCAATAGGCTGAGACTTTAACTTTGAAGACTTTCCAAATAGTGTAAACAAAGCCAATATGTTTCTACATATCATTAGATTGGAGAAGGCTGATCTGGGTTTTCATGAAGGCAGTGGTCATCTATCTCTCCTTCCTACTCACCATTTTCAGAAAGACCTCCTTTGGGAATATCCTCTATGAGTTCTTGATTAGTCAAAGTTTCTTCCTGGTTTCTTGTAAACTGACTAGGATGTGGAATTTGATTTTGTGTCACAGACCAGGATTTCTGAGGAGCTACAGTCTTTGTAAGCATAGCTGTATGCTCTTCTATCATGGCAAGGGACATCGCACCTGTTGGGAAAAAATGTCAATAAGTGACAGAGCGTTTGCCACAGTAGTAATTCCACAATTCATGTGGAATATATAGTCTTATATAAATGTATTGCCTTTGTAAGAGCTGAATATACAGGTAGCAACTTGAACTAGAAAATTTTATTAGCTTGATATAATGGATTTTCCCCAAAATAATCCTTGGAAAAATTTTCTAAAATGCTAAACAATCTTCCTCTATTTCTTATCCTTCACATGTATTAGAACACACCTCTCTGAATTAAACACCATCATAGTCTCTTTAACCATGACTGTGCGAGGATTTTGGGAATTGCTGTCCCAACATCTCTGGAGCGTGCCAGAGTGTAAATGGCAATGTTAGAAATTCCTAGTTCTTTGTCCTATGGTGCTCCCCTCCAAGCTAGTTTTCAATATGTCCTGGGAAGTGTAAGTAATTGTTATACGTGCCTTGTCATTCTCACCTGAACACACAGCCCCAGCATCTTCACTGTGTCGGCAGTTGTTTGTCCCCCAGGGACTGGTGTAGCAGTCTGCCAACTTTGACTCTTCTCCTTGACATTGCACATCATCCAGCCAGATGACACTGTTCCCCTCACCAAAGAAAGCACCACCTGGTGCTGCCAGAGCCTCCCCACAGTCCAGCTCTCGGCATATGACGGTAACATCCAGAAGGTCCCACATGTCATCACACACTGTCCCCCACTGCCCTTCATGAAATACCTCTAGCCGGCCAGAACACTGATTTTTGCCACCCACAAGTCTTAGGGCATGGTTTTCTGGACAAAAAGAAAAAGGAATTTAAGGCAGACACTGGAAGAGTCCAAAGTATATATGAAGATAGTTTGCCACATATGAAGTTCTAAAAGTAAAGGTAATGTCTCCCTTTCATCAAGCTTGAATCTTTTTTACTTCAAGCTTGAAGTCTACATATAAATTTTGAGTACTTTTTCTCCACATCTGATATTTTAATTTTTTTTTGTACAACATTCTTTTAAAACATGAGGTATGGTACTATCACTTCTTCTTACCTGTCCCAAAATGTTAAATTTACAGATTATTTTAAGTTAAATGACTCAGATCAAAATCAGTTGTATAAAATGGATGCAGGATTTTCCTACCTCCCCAGTGACCTTTTATCCTATTTTGTAGGTTGACAATTTCTGTGCAAACAATGGAAGTGTGAATCTTATAAATGTACTCACCCTCATTAGGTGTAGGTAACACAAGTGGACTTTTGGTTGCTACTGCCTCCATTTTAACTTTTTTGAAAGGTGTGTGGGCAGGAATGGCAGTAAAAAGATGGAAGTGTTGTTCTGTGTAGAGACAAGTGGGAAGAAACATAGGTTCCATTGCTCCAGAAGGCACATAAAGTTATAAAACTCAGCTCTGCATATATTGATTTATTTAAAACATTTGTACAGCTTCCACATCTTAAAACCAGGGTTTTTTTTTCTTTTTCTGTTCAATCATATCTGATTCTGAGAGTCTGCCTGGACAAATTCCTGGAGTTTTCTTGGCAAAGTTTTCAGATATGATTTGCCATTGCCCATGGCTGAGAAAAAGTAACTGGCCCAGGTGATTTGTACCTAAGGTGGGGCTAGAATTCATGGTTTCTAGCCTGATGCCTTAATCACTATGGCTTAAGTGGGTAATACCCAACATAAAAGCTATATATACAACTAAAACAAAAATCATACCGCCATCCCCCCCCCCCCATCCCAGAAGAAAAAACACTTTGATTTCTCCTCATTCCAGCACACGGGGGAAGAGCCAAGTCTTAAATGAAAATTAAAAAGGTCTCCAGGGGGAGGCATTTCATATGAGCAAGGCATGCTTTTGAGGACCACAAGGTGACTGTACTTAAGGGAAGGAACTTGGAGCAAGCCTTGAAGCATCTGGTGAGATGGGTAGATACCTCAAGGAGAGGCAGTCCTGCAGATTTTTCTTGGAAACAGTAATGGGTGCTTGAGGGGGTAAGCTTGTATTCAACTCTTTACATTAAGCCATACTTAGTAGAAAGCTCAACTTTGAAAGAGGATTTAATCAGTTATTTATTAGTTAAGTTTCAAGGTGAGGACAGAGGAAGAGGTGAACTTCCCCATTAAATTAGATACCAGGAAAGTCCCTATATGAAAGCTAATAGTGGAAAGACTCCTTTTGTCCCCAACAAGCTTTTGTTGTAACTTAAATATTTGTCTTTGTTTTTCAAATACTGATGTATCCTTGAAACAGATTGAAACAGCAATTGAAACAGCTACTCTAAATAAGACTGCTTAGAGGGAATCTCTGTGTGATAATCAATTCACCTTTTATAGCCAGCTATGTGAAGAAGCAAACATTTGAACTTCTGTAAAGAAAGTGTAAAAATATCTGTAGTATCAAGCACTGACATACAGTTGTTATTTATGTAGGATATGGAAAATGTTTCCTGTGTCTAAACAGTTGGACCTGGAACAGAAGTTGGTTTTAAAGAAATATGATGAAAGATCTTATTGCTTCATGCAATACTCTCAGTTTTTCAGGGTGGGATTCAGGTAATGATGAGAATTGTGTTGCGTTATTGTTAGTTGGGCAATTTTCTAGATCAAAAATATAACTAAATGTGCTTTGTACTCGCTCCCCGTTTTATGGATAGGTTTTGATCATAATATTGATTTTCACATTTAATAATTATTTAATACAATAAAACTGAAAACCACAGTTTATTAAAACCACAATCCTACCTAAAATGGCAGGGCAATTACTTTATACAAGCAGAAAGTAAACTCCACACTTACTCACACCAATGATGTTATCTAGTTGGGTAATGAAACATCTGCCAGTAAACAATCAAGCTCAGAGAACACCAAGAACTCCACAATAAATTACTTCTAATCTTCTTAAACAAGCATCTTGTGAAAACAGTTGGAAGTAACAAGAGCCCTACCTGAGCAGATGGCACTGGCATCTTCCTCATGGGTGCAGATATGCTTGCGAAAGCCACGGTGATGGCAGGAAAGCAGGTGCCTCTCAGTACCCACACAATGTACTTCACTGAGCCAGATAGAACCAACTCCTTCACCAAACCAGGCTCCATGAGGTGCCGAAAGGGCTTCCCCACAGTTTAGTTCTCGGCACACAACAACAGCATCACGCAGGTCCCAATCATCATCACATACTGTC